GGTCACAGAGTCGGACACGATTGGAGCAAGTTACAGCACGCACACACCTTCTGGGCACAAATTTCAAATTTGCCACCCATAGACCTAGAAGTGTGGGGATAATGACCATAAGTGCTGGTGGGATTTTGGGATTTGGTGGTGGTGGTGGAGTCTAAACGGCAGCCACATGAGTGCCTTCTGCATCATTCATTTTCTGACATAGCCCTGAAAATACAGCCACTCAAGTTTCCCCATGCTCAGCGGAATCTGGTGGCCTTTGTTCCTATGTGTGGAAACACATCAACCTGCCATTTCTGGTCATAGGGTCCACGATGACGTTCTTGGCTTTCACCACTGGTTTTGGCAAAAGCGCCACTGAGGGCTTCTTTATTTTTTTAGTCTTTAAATATCATTTTTCAGAAAAGATAAATCAACTGTAAAAGTATGTTATGAAAACCAACTTGGCAAGGTCTCCAGGAGAGGGCAGGGGTTGCTTTATTTTCCATTATCTCAGTAAAATAAATAGATTTATCCTTTTAAGATGTTCATGTAAGGTCATCAGGATCACAGTGATTTAAACCATGGTCCTTGGCCGACTCAAGTCTAGAGCATGACCTAATCAGGCCTGGAATTTCAAAGAAGGAAAAAAAACAAACTGGTCTATAAATGAGAATTTCAAAGTTATCTAAGTACAAGGAAGTTTTCTCTTTTTGCTGAAGCCTCCTGGAAATCCTCCGAATGCAGCCTGGTTCTCAGCATCTTTTAAAGTTTCTTTTGTTCTGTTAACAGTGAGTGAGGTTAAGTCTGGACAGACCTACCACTTTCTTTTCTTCATCCCTCTGCCAGCAGGCTCAGATCTTCCCTGCTGGATGGTTTTGCCCTGGAATATTAGTAGCTGAGAGACCTTGAACGAAACATTGAACTCATCTGAGCCCCTGTTTCTTCATCTGTACAGCTGCAAGCAGAACCCATACTGAAAAAGGATTGTGAAAACTAAGAGTTAATTGCCAAAAAGTGATTAGCACATTGCCAGACACATCCCATCTGAGTCATGTAATAGAAAAGGAGTATAGTGATTGAGGTTGTCAGTGCCATGGTTGAAGATGCTGCACTGGCTATAGGCTTTCTGGTTATGGGCAAATTACTTGATCTTTCTGACCTATAGTTTTCTCATCTGCAAATGGGGATGAGAGCGGTGTGTATTCACTCCCTCACAGAATTGATGAGGGTGCGGTAAGATAATGGTTTAAATAGTGCCCAGAACATAATGCATAGCAGGTAAAGAGTAGCTATTACTACTATGACGTTGAAAAAAAAATAATGACAATCAGAACTTCTGTTACTAGTATTCTTATAATTGGGGCTTCACTGGTGGCTCAGAGGGCAAAGCGTCTGTCTGCAGTGTGGGAGACCTGGGTTCAATCCCCAGGTCGGGAAGATCCCCTGGAAAAGGAAATGGTAACCCACTAGAGGCAATCCACAAGTACTCTTGCCCAGAAAATTGTTATTATTTATGGATTTTTGATTACCAAGCAAAGCAAATCACTTTGCTAACTTATGAAAAAAGAAAATATATTGAGTAGCTCTGAGATAGACAGCTGTCACTTAGATCCCTGAGCATCTTTTTGGAACTGTTTCAGCTGTTCCAGGGCACCACTGCCAATCTCTGAGTCTCAAATCTTTTGAGAGAGACACATCTCTTCTTATTACGAAGAACCTGTTGTGAACTATTCTTCCTGGAGTGGCAATGCGTTTGCACTGAACTTTCTCTCTTCCACTGACATTTCTGCTGTGCCCAGCAAAACACAGCCGTGACAATGGCAGCAAGGTGCCAGGATTCTTTGCTGAATTGTGCCTGGGAGGACTCACTCTTGCTTCAGCCATGCTATGTAGCATTACCCCCCTTCATCACAGCAAAAGGAAGATAGAGTGGGTGGCGTCTCTGAGAGTCCACCCATAGGAAAAGACCACACAGGCTACATCTAGAGACCAACAGAACATACTTTGGCAGGAAAGCTATGGAAAGTCTTACTTTGTAATGGCGGTGAAACCACTTATGAAAGGAAAATTTTACAGAAGAATCATCTCTCTATCCTCTTTGGGGATGATGCTTGGGGCTGAGGCCTCCAGGGGCCTCAAATCCTGTCCAAAAAGCCTTAGGGACCAGGGAGAAGAAATGGGTGTGGGCACCCTAGAGACAAACGTATTTTATGCACTCGTTTTGCAAAAATGTTAACCCTATATCTTTCTCCTTCATTTAGTACATCTGCTCTCACAGTTGAATGTTAGAAATCTGGTCATCCAACTCACACTAAAGTCCCTGGGCATGAAAAAAGAAAAAGGACAGGGCAATGCCTAACTTGAAGGCATCATAAAAAAAGAAATAACCCATCAGTGCTATAGTCAGGCACTAATTATATTACAAGCAATGCAAATTATTGACGTGGTAGGTTCACAACTCTCTTAAGAGGTAGGTACTATTAACCCCCCTGTACAGAGGAGGGAATAGATGAGGCTCAAAGAGGCTATGATTTGCCCAAGGTAAGCCCAGCAAAAAAAATAACCAGAGCTGACACTCCACCTAAGTGCCAGCTTATCTCTGAAATGGGATGCTTAGAGAGCTGTGGTTCTCCATCCTGCCCGGCAGCTTTTAAAGCTACAGATGCCTGGATTTGTCCCATGACAATTAAATCAGAATCTCTGAGGAACCTGGCAATTTTTTTTTTTTAATCCCCAGAAGGCGATTCTAGTCTACAGTCTGGGTTGAGAACCACAAGACAGGGCACCACGCTACTGATGGAAGGGACCAGAATCTTTTCCTCTTTCTGTCTTGGAATCACAGAAAGACCTTCTGGTAATCCAAGCTCCTTCCCTGCCCTGCTGCCTGGTCCCAGACCAGAGCGAAGGGGCTGCCTCTGCCCCGCTGAGGTAGGGAACGTGTCAGGCCACAGCTGGGAACGAGACTGAACTCTCCTGCCAAGAATCCAACAGATTTATCTCTGTGTCTGCCCCAGGGAGGTCAAGAGAAGATCAGAGGAGAGTCAGGGGGAAACTGAAGGGCACAGGAAGAAATACACATGATCAGCCTGGAGGCTGCAGGACTGCTGGGAGGAAAGATTCTCGGAAGGAGAAGGAATGGGTGCACTTTGGAGCACTCCCGCTGTACAGGGGGAGTCTGGAGGACTGAGGCTCTCACTGGCCTCCAAGATCATAGACATTCCAAAGATTCCAAAGGTAGCTCCTCTGGGGTGGAAGGAGAAAGGCTTTTCTCCTAAAGGGCACAGTTAAGACTTGGGCTTTTAGGCTTCCTTAAATAATCCCACATCTGAGTAGCCTTCTAACAAATCTCCCCTCGAGCAATCTCTGCCCCACCTTCCCTGCCTTCTGCATCAGGCCAAAGCCATCTCTCTCAACTTCAGAGTGCGTTAATCCTTGTTCAGATTCCTTCCAGCCCTCCTGGTGCCCCCACAGTGAAGTCCAAAAGCGTGGATGTAGCCAAACAGACAAGCCAACCCTGTGGGGCCTTTCGTTTCCCAATCTTTCTGCTCCTCAAACCACCTGGCTTTGCTGGTTTTGCTCCGATCTTCGCACAGACTGTGCCTTCCACCTGGAACTCGCTTCCCATTCCCATTCTACTCATCTTTGGGACTCAGCTTAGTTAGTACTTCCTCCAGGAAGTCTTCTCTGATTCCTCCAGTGTTCTAGTGCCTATTTTAGCTCTTATTAGGATGTTAGCCTGTCTCCCTTTAAATGTAAATAAACTCCCTTGAAGTGGGAATTATGACATTTCCAGCACCCAGAACCGTGTGTGTGTGCGCGCGCGTGTGTGTGTGCGTGTGTGCGTGTGTGTGTGTGTGTGTGTGATGGCAGAGTCCCCAGTTTCAGAGGGAAGGAATACCTGCAGAGTGTCTTGAGAACAGCCCATCCGAACACACATCTCCTTCACTGGCAGAAAAATCCTGGATGCTTGAGAACAACATTCTCCCCTGGCCCACCACCGAACTCCCCACAGCTTCACCTAGATGGGCGTGTGTGCTCAGTCGCTCAGTCGTGTCTGACTCTTTGTGACCCCGTGGACTGTAGCCCACCAGGCTCCTCTGTCCACGTGATTTCCCAGGCAGAAATACAGGAGTGGATTGCCATTTCCTTCTCCAGGGGATCTTCCCGACCCAGGGATCAAACCCTGGTCTCTGGTATTAGCAGGTAAACACTGAGACACCAGGAAAGCCCATACAATGGACAAAATTGGAAGATATTTAATGTACCATGTGATGATTTGATATACACATACATTGTCAAAGGAGTCCCACCCTAGAGTTAATTAATACACCCAGCACCTCACTTATTTATCATTTGTGTGTGTGTGTAAGAGAATATCTAAGCACATTTCAATCATGCAGTGGTATTATCAACTCTAGTCACTGTACTATACATTAGATTCTCACACCTTATTCATCCTATAGTTGAAAGTTGTACCCTCTAACCAACCCCTCCCTATTTCTCCCACCCCAGCCCCTCTCTACTCTAAAGTTTGGCGATTTTTTTTTTTTAAGATTCCACGTATCAGTGATACTGAGTTATTTGTCTTTCCTTGTCTGACTTATTTCACTTAGCTTAATGCCCTCCAGATTCATTCATGCTGTTGCAAATGACAAAATTTCCTCTTCTTTTAAAGACTGAATAGTAAACATTCAGATATACATGTTTTATATATATATATATATATATACACACACACACAAATATCACATTTATATACACTTTATTTGGCTTTTCTTGTAGCTCAGCTGGTAAAGAATCCACCTGCAATGCAGGAGACCCTGGTTCAATCCCTGGGTTGGGAAGATCCCCTGGAGAAGGGACAGGCTGCCCGCTCCAGCATTCTTGGGCTTCCCTTGTGGCTCAGTTGATGAAGAATCCACCCACAATGCAGGAGACCCTGGTTCGATCCCTGGGTCGGGAAGATCCCCTGGAGAAGGGACAGGCTGCCCGCTCCAGCATTCCTGGGCTTCCCTTGTGGCTCAGTTGATGAAGAATCCGCCCACAATGCAGGAGACCCTGGTTCGATTCCTGGGTTGGGAAGATCCCCTGGAGAAGGGACAGGCTGCCCGCTCCAGCATTCCTGGGCTTCCCTTGTGGCTCAGTTGATGAAGAATCCGCCCACAATGCAGGAGACCCTGGTTCGATTCCTGGGTTGGGAAGATCCCCTGGAGAAGGGACAGGCTACCCGCTCCAGCATTCTTGGGCTTCCCTTGTGGCTCAGTTGGTAAAAAAAAAACCGCTCCAGTATTCTTGCCCAGAGAATACTGGAATTCATTCTGAGATAATGATTTCATAAAACAATCATAGATCAGAGGTCCTGATTTGACCTTGAGACATCGGTGTATCTTCAGGGAGATCATAAGCTCAGTCTCCAAAGGATTAGAAAAATCATAGAGGAATAAGGGAGGAGATGAGGACACCAAAGCTCTGAGAGGTTGACTCATAAGTGCCCGAGGGCAAGCCCAGTGTGAGTTTCTCTGGGGTTCTCATCGTAACCTCACTACCCAGAAGCCTGTCCCTCTCCACTGAGCCACTGGCTAGATCTCTTGGTCCTCGGTTGAGCATGGGCTACTCTGTACCTACAGGTAAATATATTTCCTAATCCCTTGTGCAGTAGAAGCCGTATGGGCCCTGAAACCTGAAACCTATTCCAGGAGCTCATAACAGCCTTCAAGTATTCACATTCCGCAGCGCTAAGCTCACTGGTGATCTCTCCCCAGACGGTTTCAGCCTGTCTGGAACTTCGTCTCCTCTGGAGTTCCGATGGGGGACCACATCCATCACTCACTGGGGAGGCAGCTACATCAAAGCATGAGGATCGGCTCAGCAGGAGTTGTCAAACTTGGCAGGTTCTGCCCAGTGATTCCTGAATCTCTTTTGCTTCCCTACATGGAAGCCCACTCCATCACACTACTTTATACTTGCCAGTCTGTGGATCTGATGCCAAAGGACTCCCATTTGAACGCTGGATCTGTGCACCTTAAGATCATGTCGCCTTGAAATGTTGCAACTCTGAACCTTGGTCTCTTCATCTGTCCAGCAGAAATGTGTTTGCCCCATAGGACTGTTGTGCAAAAGAAGATTTAATGACATGGCATGGAGAAAATACGTGCCATATTCCCAGGGGCACAACACACACTTGGGTAGTTTGTGTGCTGCACACAGGCGCCAGGGTAGGGGACAAGCAGAGGCCAGAATTCAGCCCGGCTTCTACTCACCAGGCCATATGACCACTGCTGTATCCACCCAGGGAGCATCTTTCAGTAATTTACACAAATGTTCTTTAAACATGGTCCTGGCAGGGCCTGGCACATGTGAGGTCTCAGTAAGTATTAACTGAATTTTAAATTCTTTGTTATCCACACACAGAAAATGAAAGCTACTGTTGCTGAAATAGCAATAATCTAAGTGTGCTTCCCCAGGGTGGTGATATAGCAGAGTGGTTAAAAGTAAAAACTTTGGAGTTAGACCAGGGTTTCAGCCCCAGTTCTGCCACGAACGATGCTGAATGATCATAAGCAAGAAGCAAAACCTCTCTGAGTTTCAGTTTTATCATCTGTAAAAGGGGAATAATTTGGGAGGATTAATGGTGACTCTCGTAATAACTGCCTCCTGAATACCTCATGTTTTAAGTGTTTGGGGACCAAGCTTTATGAAGAAGGAGACCCTAGATCACCAGAGGTGATTAAACATTCATTATTGTAATTGGTATTTATTAAAATCCTAATGTGTTCTAGGCTCTGGAGGGCTTATATCATCTATTGAGAATTTTCTGCTTGCCAGATAATGTGCTAAGCACTTCATAACACATTATCTCATCTATACCCAAAAGCACCCTAACAGGTACAGACTGTGATTATCTGCTCGAAAAGAACTTACACACTAGTTAAGAAAGCAATGACTCTGTGATTGAAACCATTTAAGTTAACACTAAACAACTAAAGTCAGATGGCGTTTTGGAAGAAGACAAGTACAAGGACATACTGTGAGCCTGGGGGTGGCTGGGAGTTGATTAGTTGCTGGAGGCAACCTAGATATCCATCTCTAGAGAGTTTGGTATAAATATATAGTGAAATATTACACAGTAGTCAGAAACCATAATCTACATCTAGGAATCAGGCTAGACCTCAAACACCATGTTCAATGCAAATAGTAAGAAATGGGGTAAGATTTAGAAAACAACAGAATAGGATAGTATGTGCCAAATTGTGGGGCAAGCACTGTAGGGCTTTACTTACGAAGAGGGCATCCCAGCCCCAGGAGCATTCATCATGGACACTGGGGAGGCAGCCCTGGATTCATCTGTTCATTCCCTATGCTGCCACCCAGGGTGCACCAGAAATGGTGCTAAGACATGGACCCTGCTTTCATCAAGCCCAGAGCCCAGGGTTCAGTTCAGTTCAGTTCAGTCGCTCAGTCATGTCTGAATCTTTGTGACCCCATGGACTGCAGCATGCCAGGCTTCCGTGTCCATGACCAACTCCAGGAGCTCATTCAAACTCATGTCCATTGAGTCGGTGATGCCATCCAACCATCTCATCCTCCATTGTCCCCTTCTCCTCCCGCCTTCAATCGTTCCCAGCATCAGGGACTTTTCAAATAAGTCAGTTCTTCGCATCAGGTGGCCAAAGTATTGGAGTTTTAGCTTCAACATCAGTCCTTCCAATGAATATTCAGGACTGATTTCCTCTAGGATGGACTGGTTGGATCTCCCTGCAGTCCAAGGGATTCTCAAGAGTCTTCTCCAACATCACAGTTCAAAAGCATCAATTCTTTAGCACTCAGCTTTCTTTATAGTTCAACTCTCACATGTATACATGACCACTGGAATAACCATAGCCTTGACTAGACAGACATTTATTGGCAAAGTAATGTCTCTGCTTTTTAATATGCTGTCTAGGTTGGTCATAACTTTTCTTCCAAAGAGTAAGCGTCTTTTAATTTCAGTCACCATCTGCAGTGATTTTGGAGCCCATCTGCATATTTGAAGTTATTGATATTTCTCCCAGCAACCTTGATTCCAGCTTGTGCTTCATCCAGCCATAGCCCAGGGTAGGTTCCCTAGATAAGAAAGTTCTTCTAGAAAATTCTCTCTAGCCACACGGGAGCTTCTCTCCCACAGTTGCCTCTCTGGGTTGGTAGATTCACTTTTCTTTTCCAGATGTGCCCCCTACAAAGTGGAAGAAATTAAGGTCTGGTCAGAGCAGAGAGTGGTATCAGCATGTGCCAGCCATGCTGCAGAAGTTAATTAACCAATACCACACTTCCCTCCACAAAACTAGCCTTTCCTGATTGTTGACTTAGAAGGGGCTGGATAGCATAAGGAAAAATAGACTCAGTGTTCTGTCAATCATCATGATTACTCCCAGCCCCATATAAGGCCCCAAATAGTGCATCTTTTTTTTTTTTTTTTTTTGGTAATGATAGGAATATCCTAGACCTGAAAATATTGATTATTTTTGAGACTTCCCTGTGGTCCCATGGTTAAAATACCACACTTCCACTGCAGGGAGTGTGGGTTCAATCCCTGGTCAGGGAACTAAGATCCCACAAGCCAATAAATAAATAAATAAATAAATAAAATTTAAAAACAGCTTCAAAGAAGAGTAGCTGAAGACTGGACCAGAACATGGCTAGGATCTTTTCCTGTCTGGTCCCAAGATCCTGTTGGCTGCTACCCATGTATGTCTGATTGTCAAACTCCTCTCATTTTAGCAAAATATGTGGTAAATGAATTCTCCAAGCTGGCCTCAGGACCTACAATATGCATGTTCTACTTCTACTAAATCCCTAGCCAATGGAAAGGCCATTAACTCACATCACCTTCTCATAGAGCTGATTCTTGGCCTCTCAGAGCTAAACATTATTTGACCATCACCTGCCACCCTCTGAAGTTTGGTCAAACAGAAAAATCAGGACAAGTGCTGTGATACACAATAACTGTCCAATTTTTCTCTCCATGGGGACCCCTGGGATTCTAAGTCTTTGCAAGACTAGTGAGGACTTATCCATGACCTTCAGTGTATTGTTTCAGAGAGAATGGAAGACCCCGTGATAAGAAGCCAAAATTTAAAGTCAGAGCACCATCAACATGGATTTATTTGAAAGGATGACTCAAACAGGGAGGGGTCACAAGAAAGAAATCAGTGATGTGCTAGGACCGGGAGGTGGAGCGGTAGCAGGCAGTGAAGCCACCTGAACAGAGCACTGAGCATCCCTCTAGGACAGTCTTGTCTTCCAGTGTGCATGATGAGAAAGGCTTTAAAGCCCTTGAGCAGTCTAGGGCATCAAAAAGACTACTGGGTTATATATGAACTCACCAATGGGAAGATCACGATGATCACTTTGGGACAGAACCCCCCTTTTCCTGCAAACTCTGGTTTTTACATCTTCTATTTAGCTTCTATGAAAGTCAGAGCTGGAAGAGAAATCACCCCCACAGACTCTACCCCATTTTTCAGATGGTAAAACAGTCCCAGGGAGAGAAAGCAACTTGCCCAAGGTCAGGAACATTACTGGAACCTTGGGGAGAAGTTGCTGTCTTCTTTTGATTGGTCCTGGAACTAATTACCCCTTATTCAAAACAAAACAAAACAAAACAGGCTACGACTCCTGCTGGCCTCAACAGCATATCTAATGGAATGGGATCATTGGTCATGAGGCCAGAGGGCACTCACTCTCATCCTAGTTATGAATGTCCACATAGCACTTCTCCAACTAGCCAAGTATTTTCAGAGCCAGAGCACTAAACAGCCCCCAGGATAACCCCTGAAGTTGGTCCAGGTGGTGAAGCACTGCTTCCTAATGACATAAAGGCTTGGGTTTAGAGAATATCACAACGGCCAAGGTGTGCAAGGGCTGTCCTGGGCTCAAGGTTGCTGGAGATGATAAAATGTTTTGTCTGGAAATTCCTGCTGTCACTCTTGGCGAACAGTTCTGAATGCTGCTTCCATCACCAGTCTTAGCATTTGCCCCTCTCCTTCCCATTTTAAAACTGGGTCAGAAATCCATGCTCCAGACTGTTCTTGCCTTCTCCTCCCCCTGCCCTAATCTGTTACTAAGGTCACCCCTTACAAAAGTTACACTCCCAGAGCTCACCACTCAGCAGCCCTCACACACTGATTCCCCACCCCCGGAAACTTGTTTATTTCAATCCCACCCCAGCTCTAGCTTGCCCTGGGAGCCCTCAGGCACCTGCCCGCTACCCCCACTGGAGACGCCTCTTCCCAGCCCTGCACCAATCCCCCAACTCAAATCCTCTGAGTCTGAGAAGGGCCAGGAAATCTCCAGAAATGTTGTAGGATTGAGAGAGAGAAAAATTTTTTTCCTCTTCTAAAAGAATTCAGAAGACTCCATATCCCCTTTGAAGAAGACTTCAAATTGTGTTTCATAAGGAAGAGATGTAAGATGTCGTTGGACTCATGATGCTTGACATTCAGACAGT